AATTATAAGGATTAGTAATTGCCCCTCTATTGGCCAGTAAGCCCGTTCCTCCACAGGCGAATTCATCCATTGCTGTCTTTCCTGTTAAAATGGCTCCGGCGGCGGTTAATAAGTTAACCACTGTAGCGTGTTCCCCCGGTCTAAAATCGACCAAAAAATTTGAACTAGCCGTGGTGGGCAAATTTTCTGTTCAAAAATTATCTTTGACTACATAAGTAAAATTAGTTAATTTTCTTTTTATATTTGGTTGCTTTTTATACATTTACTTTACCTTGAAATTTTTAATTGGTTGTTGCTAAACATAAACTAATTCTCGCTTGGATTTAGTAAGTAGTTCATAAGTACTTTCGGTAACTAACACATCATCTTCAATCCTTACTCCCCCTAAACCAGGAATATAAATGCCTGGTTCAACGGTAATAATCATTCCGGGTTGGAGAATGGTCTCGTCTTTGGGCGAAATACGAGGTTCTTCGTGAACTTCAATTCCTAAACCATGTCCGGTGCTATGCACAAAATATTCTCCATAGCCTTTGGTTTGAATATAATCTCGGACAATTTGGTCAATCGCATTACATTTTATTCCCGGTTTAACCGCCTCAATGCCTTTTCATTGGGCTTGCTGAACTATTTGATAAATTTCTTTTAGTTGCGGATTAATTTCTTTGCCAATTGCCAAAGTACGAGTAAAATCCGAACAAAATCCTTGGTATTTACAGCCAAAATCCATAGTAATTAATTCCCCTTCTTTAATAATTTTATTACTGGGCTGTCCGTGTGGCAAGGCGCCATTTACCCCAGAAACTACAATAGTATCAAAGGAAAGTTTTTCAGCTCCCTGTTTTTTCAGAAGACTTTCAATAATCTCGGCTAAGTCTTTTTCGCTCCTGCCGGCCTTGATTGTTTTTAGCAAATTTTGATAAGCCTGGTCGGTAATCTTGGCTGCTTGGCGGATTTTATTGATTTCTTTTGCAGTTTTAACCATGCGGAGTTTAATAGTATTAATTCCCACCCAGGTGAGGTTCGGAACTTGTTTTTGTCATTGTTCTCATTGTTCCACTGTAATATACTCTTTTTCCAAACCAAGGCGTTTAATTTGTAATTTTTCGCATAATTGTTTAAGGTCGTTTAAACTTTGGTAAAGTTGAACTTGACAATTTTTGGCGGTATTTTGGGCAGCGGTAATATAACGACCATCTACTAACAGATAATTTTCCGGCGGGGTTATCAATAAATAACCTAAACTAGAGGGAAATTCAGTTAATCAAAAGCGATTTTCCGGAGAAAAAAAAAGTAAAGCGTCTAATTGATTTTCTTTTAATATTTGGTTTAGTATACTTTGTTTCATTGACTTTTAGGTGGTTTATTATAGTTTAATTTTGCCTTACCTATTTTTTATTTTTTTAGGCTTGATTAATTGACTAATTACTACGGCAAGCAAAATTATTCCTCCGGTGATTCCCAAAGCAAGGGCTAATTTTTGCCCAGTGGTGAAAGAATCTTCCTTTTCTACTTTTACAGCAGTAAGATTTTTTTTGTCATCATTGTTATCGTCTGTCATAAATTATAAATCATTTATAATATAGTTTTTATAATCAGAACTTTTTTTTAGCTTCATTTTATCTATAAAAAAGCTATGAAATTAAACCAAACCAGGCTTCTT